TTTTTTGCGCTGACAAAACCTGTCTCCTTTGTTTTCATCCTTCTGTATCATGGCATAGCGTGGAGTTTTGATTTTTATGAGTGGCACGAAACTGTGACGAGGATACCCAACTGAAGGTACAATGATACATGTATTAGACAATATGACCAATATCAGAATAGACAAGCAACTTCCCAAGATCTTTGTCTCTGAGCTGTAGAGTGAGCACTTTATTAATCGTTGTGATCAGTTACTGGTGTCTTGATTTAGTCTTCCATTCTCCCTCATGCTTCTTCATGCTTGGTGTTCTATCGGAGCTTGGGAAGAGACCAGTCTACTCTCCGGGTCAGTCAGCCGAATGGGTTCTCATTCCTCGACCATGGAGCCACCAATAATCTGCACGACTTTGAGCTGATATCTTGTTTGAACTCGATGACTCTATGCCCTATGCCCTTGGATTCGAGCCAGTCTCGTGGCTACGGCTTCCTTATCCTTTGCGGCAGAACGCCTCTAAGGTCATGGGTCTAGAGCAAGATTGTAGCACTCTTCGACAGGCGAGTCGCAGCATTTCAGGAAATTGAAAGACCAATATTTGTTTCAAAATACCTCAGCTACTGGATCCTTTTCGACTGCCAGAGATCTTGTACGAAGTACGGAGTAGACGGTAGATGGGAGACAGTCGGAAGGAAAAACAATTTGCCGATATAAAATTGATATTGGCCATCACGATCAGATACACAAGAACAAACAATAGAACAAGAATCAAGGGAAAATTATAGATACTTCTTTGCTAGAATATTCAGGGAGCACAATGGCAAAAGTGTTCTTCACACCCTGGAAGGACCATTCCCAGTTACTCACTGTCCGGAGTCAATTCTACCCACCGCCAGCCTATGATGGTCCGGATTTGCGCTCCAGGGCCTGCGCTACGGTACGCAGTTTCTACATTATCCGCTTGAACATCAGATTACTGACACTCTCGAAGGTTGGAGTTTGGAAACTCCGTGGCAACCTCCCACATCCGGTTGAGGCTACTGCCTTATTAACGGACGCGATTCTTCACGACGATGCTCAGAGAAACTCCATATTCTCGATTCGAGCGACCTACTCGGCTGCTTTTTGTCGGTCAGTGTTCTTTCTCTGTTACTGTATCAAACACATCGCTAACGCAGACGTCTCAGATTCGTGACGGGGCTCGTTGACTCGAAACTCCATGGACAGAGAAAGACCATGTTTCAACGAGCGATTGACCTCGGGCTCCCAGCATCGTTTGTTGAGCTGCGCCACGAGGCTACCCATCGAGAGTTGCCATCTCTTGTGGTATTGCGCAATGCGACGCAGCGCTCATTAGAGTGGCTCTGGGACTATTACTGGGCCAAGACAGACTCTGATGTTGCGCTTGTGTCTGGAAGGCCTGCGTCTGCGGTCTTTAACGGTGCCGAGGATGCCAATGTGGAAGAAATCAAGAGCGTCGTCAGGACTGCCCTCGCGCATCCAGCGAGCCAGGGAGACCTTTCAGAGCCACCACGGAAGAAGAGGAAGTCAGATCAGCACTCGTCTTTCCTTGCGGCGCAGCTGGTAGCGATATGCAAGGCGTCTAGGAGGAGTCCCCATTCACTTTCCCGAGTCCTCATTGAGGATTCGATTATTGTGCCGAAGGGACGAAAGTAAGTCTGCCTTTGATATGCAACGTTAGCGGACTATCCCCAGCTAACATATCTTCACAAGGCTCGGCGATTCCATGGATGAAGCATTCGCCAAGTGGGACAAGTCACTGCAGACGGTGGCGGCAGGACACTTTAGTTTTTTACCAGCCCTGACCGAGGGATTGGTCAATGACCTGGCATTCACGAGTCGACCGAATGCAAAGAATGATCCCCAGTGCGAGGCGATCTATATGTGGCTGGACCACATTTTGAAATCAGCACAGTGGAGTACAGCACGGCAGTCGCTTTCGCTAGCATACATTCTCACCGTCTGCGAACAAAGTTCGAACCACTGGATAGATCTGCTAAAGGTCGCTGTTCGCTCGGGGGATAATGATTTGCCTCCTCTTGCTAGAGATCAGAGTAACGCTCCAGCTCGACCGCAAAATGGGTCTGAAAGTACGACACATGCCCTCCACACCGAAGATGTTCTACAAGGGCTGCAAAAATTCGGGTGGGAACGTGTAGATACATGGGATAGCAGACCAATAGGGATAGTTTGACTTGAAAAATGGGCCATAACGCACCATCTCCGGTTTCGCACAACTCCTCCCATTTGGCAGAGTCCACACTGGCCATTTGGAATGACCATAGACCAAGGACTCCCTTTATCTTCACTTTATTTTATGGAGTCGTAGCAAGGATGATTGACGAGATGTATATAATTTTCCAAATACGGCCTAGTGCCAACCACATGACCCCGGAGCTACTATGAGGTAATGCTCCCGATAGTCTTCATTTATGGAGTTGAGATACCGCTTATTACTAAATGATCTCAGCGTCACCCCGCATTTTCTCTCTCTCTTTACACTCATCGTCAATGAACTTCGTCAGAGCGATTCGACCGTACTGTGGATCTCGATACTCAAGGGCACACCAAATCAGAAACATGCATATACAGTCGATTCCTATGTGTAAGTTGGATGTACTCCGTGCCTTGTGTCTCTATCTGCTTCCCACTAGTCTTGATAGATTCAATTGTTGGATACTCAAGCAAGTTTGGCGCTCACAGATATTGTGCAGGGACCGGGAAGGGCAATAACTATGCCTACCTTGTGACGGACGAGCCGACAAAAGAGTCCGTCATCATCGACCCGGCTAATCCGCCAGAGTATGTTGGCCGTCAAAACGCGCTCGTGGGATCACCTCTGATCTTCTGCTAGAGTAACTCCAGAGCTTGATGCTCAGGTCAAGCCGGGCAAGATCAAACTCAAAGCCATCGTCAACACGCATCAGTATGTCTCGGCATCCTCTCGCTAAGGGAGACCAGTATTAACATGCTCTTCCAGTCACTGGGATCATGCTGGTGGCAACGATGAGATGGTGAGTTAGCTATCTATGCTCATGCGCTCTTCAGTCTAACACATACAGCTGAAACATTTTGGTAAACTCCCAGTCATCGGAGGGAAAAACTGCCAATCAGTCACTCAGACTCCTGCACACGGGGAGACATTTAAGATTGGAGAGCGGATCTCCGTCAAAGCACTACACACCCCCTGCCATACTCAAGATAGCATCTGCTATTATATGCAGGATGGGGACGAAAAGGTGGTGTTTACAGGTGACACCTTGTTCATTGCAGGTGAGACCTGTTGTCAAGCATCTTCCGGTTGTTCTTCGAATGAATCTCACAATGGCAGGGTGTGGTCGCTTTTTCGAGGGAAATGCTCAAGAGATGCACAAAGCGTTGAACGAGACTCTTGCTTCGCTCCCTGATGACACCAGAGTCTATGTAAGCCGCTGAGAGACTACTTCTCCTTGATACAGAAACTGATTCCTATAGCCCGGCCATGAGTACACCAAGAGTAACGTCAAGTTCTGTCTTGCTGTGTCTCAATCAGAACCGATTAAGAAGCTAGAAGCATACGCAAATCAGCATCAACAGACCCAGGGCAAGTTTACTATCGGAGACGAGAAGGTATGGATTGTTTATCTTGTTTGACCGCTCCAGCTGACGAGGTTGTATAGCTGCACAATGTGTTCATGAGAGTCAATGTAAGAAGATCCAGCGGTTCCATCCTCTAATTATACTAGTGTCTGACTGTTACATAGGATCCTGAGATTCAGAGAAAGACTGGAAAAACTGCCCCAGTGGAGGTGATGGCAGCTTTAAGAGAGATGAAGAACGCTATGTGAGCTTGTAATTTGGGCATATAGCTTTGAATACACCCTCCGATTGATTGTCTTTGTGAAAGAGGGAATTCAGAAATCCTTTTCATGTACTTCTCGACTAATATCTAGATTTTGAAGGATATTTTTCTTCAAAGGGTACTGCAAGTCTTAAACCGCTGAGTCATGGTAGGGTCATGTTGGAAACGGAATAGTGCCTTTAATCACTCTAAACTTCATCTGTATTTCATCCATCGGTATCCCATATTCGGCATCCCATCTGCCATCTATCCTGATGTGAACGACTTTTCTGATCACTTATTTCACAGATCTCGTTCAATTCGCTCTAATATTGACTCGTCTCTAGCAGCTTCTCAATAAGTATATAGCCAGGACATGGCACGCAATAATCTCCCGTAGCGCGGTCCAAATCAGATCCTCCACCATGCACACCGCTGCCACCGTCAACAAAGCACTGTTTCGCTGTCCCCATCGGGGATGTAGTCGAAGTTACCGGCGCAAAGAACACATTACTCGGCACTCTGCGAGCCACAGTCAAGCGCCAGCCTGCGAGTGCCCGTTTTGCGACAAAGTCTTCTCCAGGAAGTAAGCTCGCCGGCAGCATCTCTCTCGCAACAACTAAACTCACTCTAATCTGATGTACAGTGACACTTTACGCCAACATGTTCGGGTCCGTCATAAGGACAAGGAGCTGAACTCCAGCCGCACGGTCAGAGCGTGTAGTTACTGTCGCTCGAGAAGGACCCGGTGCGATGGTAGGATCCCTTGCGAAGCATGTTCACGGAGAGGTGTCCAATGCTCCCTGTCGCAATTGTCCTTGTCCCGTCAAGGGAATGCGAAAAGTTCTCGAACTTTGGATGCGGACAGCAGCATCAGTGAACTTCAAGATGAGCAGTATGACCTGGAAGACCGCTCAACAACTGCTGAAGATCGCATAAACTCTACGTTCTCCTGGAGGAAAGCCAATGTCCTGCAGTATGTTGGGATCTATTTTGAGAGATTTCATCCTGTCTGGCCGTTTCTGCATAGAGCGACTTTCGAACCTAGTCAGGAGCCTCCGATTCTCTTGCAGTCTGTCGTCATGTTGGGACTGTGGATGACCGGGGACGAGGAGATGCAGGATCATGCAGTCAAACTACATGACAAGCTTAGTTCGTTAGTCTACGAACAACGAGTGAGTAACTCGCCTGGCTTCCCGTTTGGTTATCCAAGGAAGCACCCTCAAAGCCATTGTCTTCGAGTCGTGCCAGCTGATATCGATTTGATAGGACAAGTGGGCAGTCACAGATTCAGATTGCGAAGTCCAAGGGCCCTGGCCCATGGCAACATATCAAGGCATCCTTCTTCAGATCATTTTCGCCTTCCTCAAAGACACCCACAGTCAAGTTGACATTCGACTCGCCCGAACCATCCCTACGAGCTGCTCTCGTCTATTAACGACACTGACTGACACTTGCCTTCGCAAAAACATGTTCTTCTACCCGGAGATCTTAGCCCAGTTCAGCCGCGACTCTGTTCCAGATGTCTTCATCTGGGTTGGCATCGAGGAAGTCAAGCGCTTTGCACTCGCCCTCTACAGAGTTTGCAGGTCGTGTCATATACAATGCAACGACAACCCTCGTAGAAGCCCTCACGGCGCCAACAGGGGAAGAAGTCTCCTGAACCTGGCAGACTTGCAGTTCGCATTGCCTGACAGCGATGAGCTCTGGCATGCCAGCTCCGATCTGGCGGCTCGGCTGGCAGAAGATGGGCCCCTTTATTATGACAATAACAACTCCGAGGCCAATTGGATTTCTCAGTCAGTAAGGCTGTTGCAGAGGCATGATATGACATTCGATTGGTTATAGTACTGCGTGCGCGGAGGGTACTGTCGGGTAGGTCGACTATCTTTAGCTTCGACGATCCCCGCACAGAAGTAGGAACCCTTGATGGGCCCATGTCAAGAGCACGGCTCAACTAGCCAGCTGCAACGCGAAACTCCGAGGGTTATATTCACTGCATTAAGTAGTGAAGCTGGGGGAATAACAAGGATCTTGTCTGACCCGCAATCATCATGACGTCAGGCATGATCATCTACGGAGTATACTCCCGACGCAATGCGAACTGCAGTTAAATTGAGACGACAATCTTCGTCTTACAATCATATCTCCTCGAGCTCAAACTGTGCAATTGGGAATATTGTGCAACCATGTCTTGTCATCAACACATTCCCAGAGACGAGGATGGGGTCCCGGGCTCGCCTCGCACCGTCAAAAGTCGTGTCCTGGAAAGCGGCGCCAGCATGGTCCAGGATTTTACGCCTATCAAACAGATCTGCGCTCATCTCAATGCATTCCACGTCTACGCGTCGGATACGACCAGATGCGTGGAAGCGAATCATTACTGTACACATGTTACAGAAGGTCCTCATAGCTCCCTTCCTTCCGCAAGAAGAAGACGGCTGACCTGAAATGCAGACATCAGGCAGTGTCTGTTATACGATTCCCCCAAGCCTAATGCCCGATTACTTGGAATCGAGTACATGATTTCCCCGCGCTTATTCGAGACGCTCCCCTCCGAGGAACGCAAACTATGGCACACCCATGACTATGAGGTCAAAAGCGGCATGCTGATTATGCCCGCTCCCGCCGGAATGCCAAAGCCTGCCTGGGAAGCAGCAGAAACGTCAGAGATGAGGGATATCATTCCGCTGTACGGGAAAATTTATCATTTCTGGCAGGTGGACAGGGGTGATCCACTTCCCATGGGAGCTCCAGAGCTCATGCTTAGCTTCACGTCTGACGAGAGAGTCCGCTACGCTCATCCAAAGGGTCTTGAGGGGTTACTTGCGGAGCGGGACGAGAGGTTCGGGGTGGATTATAAGGTCAAGGCGGAGAAGAGGAAGGATATCCCGTCACCCGAGTTGCATCCCGGTAAGTAATTTGGGGCGTGTTTGATAAGCGGGAAAATTGCTGAATTGAATGTCACAGATGCCGACTTCATGTGGAAGGGCAGGTAAGACGAACCTGGGCAATGTGGACTTTGAATGGGAGAAAGGACAGAATGAAAGACGATGCGTGTAAAGTATGATGACGAGCGTGTGTTACTGGCGGGATATCCGTCCGAAAACCTTCTCAGCCTGGATTATCAACTTACGAGCATGCAAATCATCCTCTGAATTCTTTTGAGAATGAACTTCCAAGTGCTACCAGAACATATGTCTCTCATCATACGAGGAAAAGGGGGACGAAAGGCCAAACAGAAGTATCATTACCAATAATATTCTATCTCAAATCTAATTGTCTCCCACCCACGCCATCCAGCATCCCAGTCCCATAGTTAAATGGGGTCAAAGCTAAGACAGCGTTCGGGGATATCTCGCCACTTTGTGGTTAGTCGAGACGTATAATGTTCATCTTGCTTCTCTGTCCACACTCGCGCGTCCTGGTGTTGTATTTCGGAAACGGCGAGCTCTAGCAATTTAGAAGCGGCGTTGAAAGGAGACTAGAGACTAGTACATGTGCTTGTTGGGAGATTGCCAATATCATTGAATTGTCGTCGATTGCAATTGGCAGCTTGATATCCTTGCGCCATCGAGAACCCATTGAACGCGGCCATTACGCAATATGAAATGAAGTTCTCAAAGAGGGAGATCATTCAGGATGGTAGAGCGAAGACCTGGCTGACCCGACCCATACCAGACATAATGGTTGTGGAAATAGGTAGCCATAGCGCTCAAGCTGAAGAGAGGAAAACGAGAGGAGACGAACCGCAAGTGCGGAAAGGATTTTAAACGAAGACCACACCACGTGACCGGCCTCGGCCGCGCCGACTCTCCGCCGACATGCAATAGCTCCCAATCAGCTCGACATAACAATTAAAGAAATGCTCTGACCTCACCGATGGAACGACTATTCCGCTCAGCGCTGAGACGCGCAACTCCCGGCGCCGTCTTCCGCTTCACGCTCGACGGCCTGGGCCTGTTCTGCGCATGCACTCTGGTCTGGGAGCACCTCATCACCGTGCAGCTCAGCGAAGGACCCTCTATGTACCCCACCTTCAACCCGAGGGGCGACTACCTGATGATATCGCGGGTGCACAAGTACGGCCGGGGGATCGAAGTAGGCGATGTGGTTCGGTTCTACCATCCAACGTTCCTGGGAGTCAATGGTGCGAAGAGGGTGTTGGGGATGCCGGGGGATTTTGTCTGCAGAGATCTGCCGTTCAGTACGGAGGTTGGCACGAGTCAGGAGATGATACAGGTAGGGGGTTCGATGCGAGTGGCTTGGGGGCGACTGGGAGTTTGCTAATTGGAGGCTGCGCTTAGGTACCCGAAGGCCATGTGTATCTCGGCGGAGACAACCTTCCCTGGTCGAGGGATTCGAGGAATTACGGTCCTATCCCTATGGGATTGATCAACGGGAAGATTATCGCTCGTGTTTGGCCACCGTCGAAGATACAATGGGTGCAGAATACTCTGCAGCCAGCTCAGTTGGATGAGGAATAGGATTGGGGCTTTCGACGGGTTCAACTGTCGTAAAAAGATTTGATTTGCGGGCGCATGGTTGGGGCAGAGGTTAGGAGTTTGGAGTTAGAATTCAACTGGTGTACATATTCATACATGTCGGTTGTACAATACAGATCTATCACCTGAAAGCTGTAACGGACAGAAAAGAAGCGCAAACGGATGCATGGAAAGCAGATCACCGGAAGGTGGAAGGGTTTCTCCTCTTGTAAGGCAGAGGTTCAACTCTCTTCCTGCGCAGTTCTACGTCGGCCTCAGGGAACCCAATCTCTCTCATAACTTCCAGCATGTTCTCATCCCATTGGGTTCTGAAAAGGTGCGCCCCAATGGCCTTGAGGTGGTATCTGGCCTGCAGTGTCCGAAGAAGGACGTCACGGTTCGTCTCCATGCCCTTCACCAGAGAAAAGTTCAATGGAGCCGAATCCTTTTGCTCCATGATGAAGATGGAGAGTCTGTGGTAGGGGCTGCCCTTCTGAGCGACAGGGGGCAGCCAGGGAAGAACAACCTGCGAATCTGCTGACAGGTTGGCGAGATCGACCTTGGTGGAAGTAGCGGAGATGGGGACGTTCACAGCAAGGTAATACATCTTGTAGTCGAATCCGTCCTTCTCGACATTGGGGACATCCGAGTCGACAACGGCAATCGTCACGAGCTTCTCACCAGCCTCAAATAGCTGTACATCAAGCTTGGGGGGCGTCGAGCTGACCCTGGAGTTGACGAACTCTCCAGGTTGAATCGTGTGTCTACCGAAATAGAGTTTGGTGTCCACAACCGGGTCGCAGTGAGGAAGAACATCCGGAATGACCTTCATTTGGGTAATTCTCTGCACCAAGATCTTGCGACGGTACTCTCTCCACTTCCGATCGGCCAGGAAGCGGTAAATAGGCTTGGTCATGTCACCTAGATTGCAATTAAGGTTAGTTGCATGTGTGAATGGCATCTCTTCTTTTGAATCCATACCTTGCCCATCTTCAAACTTCTTCTTAACGGTAGGATCATTGATATCGGCACGGATCTTGAGCCGCTCAAGCTCCAGTTCCATTGCCCGCAATTTCGACTTCTGCACTTGCTCGCCGCCAGCCTCTTCCGTCGGGATAGCCTGGAGCCTCGCAATCTTCTCCCGCATGGCCGTAATCTTCTTGATTTTCTCCTCGCGATCTGCGAGTAGTACCTTCCGGGCTTCTTGGAAGCATTGATAGGGCAGTTGCTCAAAGGGGATGTTGGCGGAGTTCTGCAGTGCTGCTCGACGACGGCGGGATCCAATGGGCGCAACGCCTTGCTTCAGCAGTTTCCTTTCCAATCGCGGACTTGTCACGAGAGCTGGGTCCGGGTTTTTGTAGAAAGGTTGGCTTTGGGTCTCGGTCTGAGCTTCCTCGCGAGCCAGAGCGGTCGACTGAAAGGTCCGCGTCGACTGCAACTGAAGGCCTGGCAACCCCCTAGTATAGGTTTTCTGGATGCATTGAAGCAAAGGCCTCGAGGCCCGCTCACAAGGAGCCATTATTGCCAGAGATTATCTGATGGATGCGATGGAGGAAAAGGTGGTGATCGTGTTGTCAGGGCAAAGGTGGTAGAGGGTCGGACGGAACTCTTTTTTTCAGTCCGGCACAGCCAAGCCTCACCCAACTAGCGCGGACCACCGCAAAGCGCCAGATTGAACTTTTGCTTCACCTGCCCTGGTTCGACAACACAACAATATAGGGCATATAACAGCAAGATGCCTGGAACTGACGCTCTTCGCGCTCTCAGATGGATTTCGAGAAGCTCAAGTGGCCTATTTTCGGGCGCTGAAGCCACAGCGGTACTGACTTTTCCTTACTGAATCGCAATGGCATACTGACCGTGGGGTTTCATTATTAGAAGCGATGCCTGGCAACACCTCTTTCGAGATCAATGGCAACAGAGGCCCAGCCTACGACCGATTTCCTCACAAGAGAGTCCTCGACCGTTCCCCAGCCAGCATGGGATACATCCGCCAAAGCCACCACCTACTCATTTCCGTCGATGGAACCCCTGCGTATCGTCGAATATCCTCGAAACCAGCTCTTGATGCCTCTACGAAAAGACATTCTTCACCGAGCCGTCATCTATGAAGGTGACATGACCCGGCAAGGTACAGCAAGCACAAAGTGGAGAGACGACGTTCATGGGAGCGGTCGAAAGCTCCACGCGCAAAAGGGCACCGGTCGGGCGCGTGTTGGCGACAAAAAATCCCCAATTCGGAGAGGAGGAGGTGTCGCTTTCGGTCCTCACCCTCGCGACTTTGCTACGAGTCTCCCGCAGAAGATCTACGACCAGGCCTGGCGGATAGCCCTGAGTTACCGGTACAAGCGAGGCCAGCTGATCATCATCGACAACGAAATCTCGATTCCCGAGGGTGCCACCCCACACCTCATCAAGGAGATCTTCAAGGTCAACTGCTGGGGCCGCGAGTTTGGACGCTCAACATTAATCACAGACCAGCTGAATGAAAGCTTGTTCGAGACGGTACGTGGGGTGGGGGAGCACGCAAAGATACTGAACCGCAAGGACGTGGACGTCAAGGACCTCTTGGAGACAGGAAGATTGGTCATTGAAAAGCAGGCGCTGGACCGCATTCTAGCTCAGCATTCAAGGGACTTGGTCAACAAGCCTGCCAAGGCTGTGTATTAGGTGCAATAAGTTTGGCGGCTTGGGCTTTCTACGGTTTTTGATTGTGTATTAAAACAATGGTATCCTTGTGTATAAATAGATTAAACATGATATGAGTATCGTTTGAGCAGCAACAACGAATTATCGACAGCAATTGTGATTGAGGCTTCCGGGCTTTTAAAGCATCCATACGAAACCTCCCATTGCCTTTCAGATTCCACTCAAGATTTCGGATCAATTCCCTCAATTCCTGGTCAAGCGCTTCAAGCAGATATCATTACTCAATTTGAACCTTCGTATTCCCGTTGCGCAGCTAATTCCGTTGTCGAACCGCTCGTAACCGCGGAGTTGGGGATCTGCTCGGCAGCAAACCCATCCATCTTGTCCAAGCTGCCGGCGGAGGAAAATCAATCAGCGCGAAAAACTCCGAGGTCAAGCGTCCATCCAAAGCGGAGAAACGACCTTCTTTCCCGAGTCATAAGCACTAGATTTCTCCATTTCCATCCATTGTCCGTTTCTCCTCAACGACGGACTGTTGTCTGCCTAGATGTTACTTAGACGCAGTTTCTGCCGCTTACCAACGCCGTCGAGCTGGATCTCGCGGGTTTCACCAATGCCTCTCCGCGCGAAAGTGACGAATCCAGCATTCGGGGCTGCTGCCAGGGTATTATCTATAGCTTGAGATCTGGTTGATGTGTATGGTGTCTAAGATGTTTGACAGATGTCGACTGCTCCCGAACTTCCCAAAGAACTCCCCGGAGACGAGCCCGACGATGTCCTATTCAACTCCCTCTACGGCGTACGATTGATTGAGCTCAATCGACCCAAGAAGCTCAATTCGTTGAACGGGTCGATGGCACGGAAGATTCTCCCTCGGTTGAAGGTTGGCGATTCGGGATCCTGCAGTTTGTGATAACGTCTTGGTTGCTAAGCCGGTGGAATAGGAATGGGAAAAATCCCAGCTTGCGAACATTGTCATGCTTTCCGGTGCTGGCACAAAAGCTCTCTGCGCAGGAGGCGACGTCGCTTCTCTAGCTCTGCAGAACGAACAAGGGCCAGAAGGACAGCAGAAGTCGACCGATTTCTTCGGCCTCGAATACCGCCTGGACCACATCATCGCTACCTACACAAAGCCATTCATCTCGGTAATGGATGGAATCACGATGGGCGGCGGCGTTGGCCTCAGCGTCCATGCCCCCTTCCGCATTGCAACTGAACGTACTGTGTTCGCCATGCCCGAAACGACCATCGGATTCTTCCCGGACGTTGGTGGCTCGTTCTTCCTCCCCCGTCTCGACGGAGAGATTGGCACTTATCTGGCACTCACCTCGGAGCGCCTCAACGGTGTGCAGGCGCTCTACGCCGGTGTTGCGACACACTACTTCCACTCCAGTGTTTTGAGCAACCTGACAGCTCGTCTGGCGGAGCTGGCCTTTAGGGACCATGCGTCGCTTGCCGAGCGCTTGGACCTGGTCAACAAGACCATGGCCGAGTTCTCCGTCGGCCTGCCGTCGCTGGAGCAGGAGCCTATCCACCTTGCCGGTAGCCTGCGGACCGCCATCGATCGCTGCTTCAAACACAACACTGTCGAGGAGATCTTCAAGGCCCTCGAGCAGGAGACCGTGCAGAAGGAGTGGGCTCAGAAGACACTAGAGACCCTGTCTTCTCGCTCGCCCACATCGCTCAAGGTGACCTTGCGCCAGATGCGCGTGGGCAAGCAATGGACCATCTCCGAGACCTTCCAGCGGGAGTACCAGATCGCGGCCCAGTTCATGAAACACCCCGACTTCGTTGAGGGCGTGAAGGCCCGTCTGATGTCGAAGCCCCCTCGCCAGGCGACATGGCAGCCAGCTACCCTGGAAGAAGTTACCAGTGATGCTGTGGATGCCTTCTTCAAGCTTCCCGAGGGCGAGTCCCGGCTAGCACTCTTGAACAAGACCAACTACAAGCAATACCCCCACGCCTACGGCCTTCCCAGCGAGGCGGAGATTGAGAGATTTGTACGGGACAGCTCCGAATCCGCCAGCAAGACCGTGGCAGACTTTGTGCAGAAGTGGGGTCACAAGGAGGGAGTCAGAGAGAAGGTTGCAGAGGTTCTGGCTAGGCGGACAGTGCAGACTTCTGAAGGTTTGCGGTGGGAGTAATCCATCCATGTAAACAAGGTCAAATATCAAATGATTGATCTATGTGAGCTTTATAGCTTGGGTGTGCATATTGACTGTAATCTTCGTTTACATGTATTCTTCAATTGAATGGTACCTAGACCAATCAAGATCGCACCAGCTGTACAAGGTTGACAGGATCCTGACCCTCTGTAAGGCACTAGAACGAGAGAATCCAAACATCACCCAACCTCCCATTCGACTCATCCAACCCTCCCTGCACGACAATCGCATTCTCGCCGTGCACATCGGCAGCAAACCATCCGCGAGCATAGGGGGCCTCAGCGCCCTGCGCATCTACTCTCTTCCAGGACCGTTCCTCCACATCAAACACCCACACATCATCCAGCATCTTCCCCGCCCCCTGATGCCCCAAAGCGCTAGGGTCTCTCTCGCCGAACAGCGTCACCAGCGACACCCGACCACCAATCCGCACAGGAAGCAGAGCGCCCACGCTCCGTGCCTCGGGCCCACTCACCCCATCAGCAACAAACCGATACGACGACCAGGCGTTCGCTTCCGGAGAATACACGTCCACACTGCCGCCTTGCTCGGTCTTCCCATCGAATCCATTCATCCGGTACAACACGCCCTCCGCGAAGGCGATCGAGGTACCCCCGCGCGCAGGGCCCGGCGCAGAAGCCAGCGGCGTCCATTCCCGGGTCGAGAGCCGGAAGGCCCAGAGGTCGGAGAGACGGCCGCTTTCGGGGCAGCCTGCGTGCAGGTAGAGCGTGTCGTTGCCGTCGCTGGTCATGCTGTGGTAGCTGCGGGCTGGGGGGTGGGTTGCTGACGCGGGGGCGATGAGTGTCCAGGCTGAAGTCTGGGGCTCGAATTCCCAAATTGCGCCGTCTTCGTCGATGGGGGCCATGGCGATGCCGCCGCGGCCGGAGAAGAGGTAGATCTTCTGGCGGAGGGTTGCGGAGGCGGATCCCACTCGTGGGGAGGGGACCTGTGATGTTGACGGTTTGGCAACACTTAACGTCGAGCCTGTTTTGTTGGTGGTCAGATGTATTCGTTTGCAGGCAGTCTATCATCTTACTCGTGCCATCCAGTGCGATGGTATGCACGTCATTATCGCGGGGTTCGCGGGGTCTCAGCTCTCCTCCAAAAACGTGGGCCACGTTATCAACAACAGCAAGTACTTGGGATGAACGTTGAAGAACCTCTGCGTCGAGGACTTTGGTCCATTTTCCGGTGACTTGGGTAGCTGCCATTTGATTGCTTTTGTTGGAATTGTCTACCTCCATGGGCCTGGAGCGTTTGAAGTTCGTGCATCCATATGGGTTCCGAGTTGATCGTCGTTGGGTACCTTGGGAGTAGCCTCAGTGACAACCTTTTCGTCCGGCATCGCGTGGTCAACATGTTAGGCAAGTGGTGCTTGATAATCTGGTGTCTCAAGTGAATTCTGCCATTATCTTGCCTCGAAAAGAGTCTTAACTAGCAACAAAGCAACAGGGTTGCCAGAGAGAGTCCTCAAAAAAAGAGGAGGAGAGGGAAAAAAGAATTCGACAAGGGCAGGGTTCGAACCTGCGCCTCCGAAGAGAACAGATGTATTGACAATTCACTGTAGGGAAGTTATTAGTATATATGGGCGGAAGCTGAGAGCAGGCACTACTAACAGTCTGTCGCCTTGGACCACTCGGCCACCTTGCCGATTATTAATCGGAATTGACCTTTTTGAATTCTAGTAAAAACAAGAGAGGTACAGGTAGAGAAGAAGATCAAAGCAAATTCGTGACTCCTTCCTTTCTGTCACATGACACTAGCTCCGACCACTGTATCTAGGCAGAGCCACAGAGTAGTTCTTAGCAATACGAGCATCATACACACAGTACCTTACAAATGGTAGCATTCTTGGCCGTTCCAGAGGCCTTTGCAACGGATCTTGTTTAAAGATCTGATATACCATCTTGTCAAGAGAAAATCGATCGTAGAGATCGAGAGGTATTTCGGGTGTTGAACAACCACCTCCTCATCTTCCCCTCCGCCACCCGCCTTTACATCATCTTCCCCCCATCCATCGAAATTCATCAGAACCACACTGGCAATCCACCCACGCATGGATTCTCAGAACGATTCCCTACCGACAGAATTCAACCGGAACCACCGACCACAGAGGAAGATCCAAATAATCAAATCCTTGATACAATTAACGCAGCGGAGGAAATATCCCAACCTCTCGATCAGATGGCGAGAGATGCACTGGCTATCCTAGACCAGTGAATACCTCACATGTATGCTATTATTAGAAAGCATTCACTACTCACACAACTTGTCAGTGAATACCCTGCGCTAGTTCCACCAATTTTACGCACCAACACATTTCTTATCTCCTTCTTCCATCAACTCTCCTTCTTCCATCATTACTCTCTACTAGCAACCACTTCATGCCAGTACAAGACGGAATTTCACGAATCCTCCTCCTTGCTATCGAACCACAGGCAACCCAAGGAAAAATGGGTCGTCCAAAACAATCAGTGAGCGGCGCAAAGGCAATGACGCCAAGAGAAGGGTGCCAATGGCACAAGAATACGCCCGATATCGATTGAATCAGGGCAAGATAACAGAGGTCTCACAAGGAGGCCAATATACCAGAGTATACCTTTTTGACGTCCCATTGAAGGAGGAGCGCGTTCAGGGGCCAAAGCAATGGCACCGTGCCCCTTTTCCAACAATTCGCAGAGCCATTGGTGCTCTTGCAAGCCCTCGGATAGGGCATGTTCCACTGGAGATGATCACAAAGCTCACGATCCTTCGTGACCTGTATTACTTAGACGATGAGGAGGAAACGGAGAAAAGACATGGATTGGAACGTCCTAGCAAGGACGATGTCTACCAGGACTTTGAGGAGGATGAGGAAGAGGACGAGGAGGAGACTTTTAAGGGCCCAAAAAGATGACCGAAGCGGTCAAAGCAGGAGTCTTGCTCTCGTAAGCGGCAAAGAAGTGACCACCAATCGCGATTTGAGTGGGACCTCGGTCCTGATGCAACCTCCGACGATGCTATTCGGAAGTTCGCACCGGTGCTCTTAGGCCCAGGACGGAGACATCGATGAAGTACCCTGTCTAGTGGCAGGACTTATGCGCCACCCATTCGCTGCGTTTGGACCACCAGCCGGCGGTGGAATACTTAGATGCCCGTATAGTCAGTCATGGAATAATTCACCTTAGCCCAAAAATCATACTCATCCGAGGGGAGAATGGTAGATGCAAGTCTTCTCCATGATGAATCCGGTGTCGCCCAAACCAAGCCGAAGTATTCCCTTGCAGCAATACTGTACCCTGCTGCACCCCAGTCAATAATCCCAGCTACCTTACCGTCGTTGATGATGATATTAGTGGGGTGTAGGTCACCATGAGTTAAGATTTTTCTCTCGTCTTGCCCATTCTCCCCTGATGCAAGAATCTCTTCTGCTAGGCGGTAGTCATCCTCGTCGACCAGTTGCCCACCAGGTCTCGAATTCTTAAGCGCATTAACAACACCCTGGTTAAATGCCTTTCGGGTTTGAAATGGCCCGTATTGATAGTTTTTCTCTCCCCATGGGTGCTTAAAGACGATATCTTCACAGGGACCTTGATCTACAGACCCAAAGAAAGTACCTTCGACTCGGCGCCATTCATGTACATAGACTCGGAGTTGCTCCAGGATGCATTGTTGGGAATCCTCAGAAAGACTTTCCCAGCATGCCTCAAGAGGAGCACCTGGTATCTTCCTCATTAAGATAAACCCAATATCTTCAATCATATAAGCATTGAGCACCTCTGGGACAGGGACTGATGTGGAGTTTCGGACGAGACACATAGCCTCGGCTTCTCCCATGGTGACTGTAAGGCCCATTTTCAAGATCTTGGATTCACCGATCTCCAGTATTTTGCAGCCACTGACTCGGTGAGGGCATAGGTCTCGTCCATTCCAGATCTCTTGACGTGTCACAATAGGTGGTGCTTGGTCTTCTATTGAAGGCGCGTAACGTACGTTGATAGGAGAAGGAGAAGATAACAAATCGTGGACATATTGTCGAACGTTCTGCTTGGAAGGCTATGATATGTTATAGTGGGATTGCAACCAAAAGGTGATACACTTACATTACTAAAATCAAAAGAAACTTCTTCCGTCATTATTATATCTTTGGCCTATTATCACTGCTATTGTTTTCGAGGTCCGCATGTCAGCCGGCTGCTGGAAGAGGACACATCAGCAGGACAGGGGTTGAGAGAGGTCACTGGGTGAGTTATATTCAGGTTCAGGTGAGCTTCAATCAAAAAAGACAACACAAGATCAAAAACATACAACAGCGGGGATTCGCTGGTGGTCACCCACCCAACTACTAACCGGCCGGCGTGTGGCTTAAGTACGGCTGAGCGGACGGGAAGCCCTGTTCTCCACACCCTATGGTCGTATGTGCTGGGTTTTATCTTGAAGCCATATACAATGCGCAGGGGTGACCACACTAGCACTATATAGATATGACCAATCCCTCTCAGCCACAGACCCGTTGAATCAGGGAATCAACAAAAGTTCTAATAGCTTGACGATGCACCCAGGCTAACCGCGCCGCATAATAAGTCCCTCCTCCGAGGAAACCCATCACCAAGCCCGAAACAGCCATCAGATCCCAGTTCTTCGCCTTGTAAACAGGCATCCGCATATCGGCCGTCTGCAGATGCATCGGCCGCGTCTCCCTCCCATCCACCACCCTCAGCTCCGTATCATACAAAACCTCCTCGATGAGGTCCGCGCCCAGCTGCTTCCGCCTGGCCGCCACGCGGGCGATCCGCTGGAGGCGTCGTACATTGCGCGCGTAGGTCCCGTCCCCATCCTCCATGAGCAACTTGGTCTTGGCGTAGACTTCCTCCGCCGTGAAGCGGAACTTGTGCAGGAGCTCGGATGTGCCGCTGCCGGCTAGTTTGGCCGCGTTGCCGATCTGGTCGAAGTAGAAGGGCATGACGAGCATGGGTTTGCCGTGGTAGAGGCCCTCGTTGGCGCTTGATCCGCCGCCGTGGGTGAAGTAGATTCGTGCGTGGGGGTGGTCCAGGATCGACCGTTGGGGCGCGAAGAAGGGGAACAGCCAGTCGTCATGTTTTCCGTCCAGGAGGTCGCCGAAGCGGACTGTTTGGCCGTCGATGGTGTACTGGTCTGTTGCGTCGAAGAGCTGCCGTCCGCTCTTGCCCACGGACCAGATCACGCCGTCGATGATCCCTGCTTCCATCGCCTGGATGAGTCCGTTCATGATTTTCCGAGCATCCGCATGCGGCAGAATGATATGCGTCCCCAGCGCGACGTAGATGGTCTTCGCGTGCTGGTCCAGGAATCGCTGGTGGAGGTCGTCCAGGGGCGGATATTCATCTGCAAGGATGGGCCCGACGGCGGCAACCAACGGAGGGAGGTCCTTTGGGACTTCCAGACCGAAGAAAGAGTTCACCAAGACGAGATAATCCGGCTTCGTCGGGGCGGGAAGAAGATAATCGAGACCCGCCCGTTTGCGCATCGCCTTGGTCCATTTCCTGAGTGCGAGCGCCTGGGGCAAGGCACGCACAACCACCAGCTCGTTATTGATCCGGGACCACAAGGACCCATTCTCCGACGTCAGGGTCATGTCCAGCTGGAAGCCCGGCTGGCCGGGGATGTACGAGCAGGGAACCATCATATACGGCATCTGCGGCCACACGATAGCGATGGGCAGCTTATACTCGAAATGGATATCCTTGACCGCGTCGACGAAGAAATCTGCCACCATCATATCCGGGCGTGTGGCGGGATCGGCCATGATCTCCTTCAGTCGATGGTAGGTCTGCGTCCACAGGGAATCGAAGAGGTATTTGGAGTCCATGACATCGCCCAGTCCCTTGGCTGGGTCCCAGAGTCGACTTCGCTTGTAGTGAGCGTCGAGCTGTTCATCTGTCGGTCCGGGGCCCATGAGATGCGTGCGGGAGACTGGGAACCCGTCTGCCCATTTCTCTTGTCCATCGAGCGTGGCAAAGTCGACTACATGGCCTCGGTGGGCGAGGATCTTCCCGAGTTCTAGGACGGGTGCTAAAGAACGTTATAGCATATGGTTCTATTTGCGCCGTAGAAGGACTCACCCGCATGAGTATACCCTCCCCCCGTAACCACCAGGAGGATCTTCCTTGACGGAGTGGTGATTTCTGGCATCTCATAGGTCGGTACAAGAGCTTATCTCCAACTCTCTAACAATTAAGCTGGCTCTGGACGGCGCGAGGTTAAAATACCTCAGTGACACGGATCCCCCCTTTGTCTCGCCATAGAAACCCGCCGATTTGACTCCACCAGTCCAGGATTAAACGCCAATCGATACAGTACAAGAGTGATATAGACAGGGGCTGTTCTATTATGAACCTCAGGTGATGTAGACAAACAAGTGACTACCTCAACATCCCTTTGGACTCCAGCCCAGAGAGCGCGAGCCTTCCCCCGTGGCACAGCAACCTGAATCTCATAGCCAAGACAACGATAGATCATGCACCAGTTCTTGACAGGCAACGTCTCAACCTCCAAAGGCTGGCAGAATCGTCTTTGCGCCTTCTGATGTGACTGTAATCTTTACAAGCGGGACCCTCTCTCCCCTTCGAATAGCACCTGTATCGAGACTCTGTGGATACTCCTTCCATATGGCTCGGTCAAGCTGCCCCGGTAGTACGAGGAGGAGATCAATGGACATGAAGTACATATCCATGAAGCTTAGGGGGCATTCCCTGTGGGTGGATGTCTGGGCAGGGAGAACGTAAGAGCATCGTACAGAATGTTTACATTGCCATGAAAAAGGTAATAATAAATATAAATAGGTATTCCTGTGTAAGAATCATGCTTTGCTGTTGCTATGGCTATGGCTGGTAACTTATCCATTTGCGTATGTAAGCCTTTAGTCAATGCTGAAGGGTGAGGAGCTGCCTATATCTATATCCATTACATATGTGTCTTTGACGTACAAACGCTATATCATCCGCAGAATGATTGGCAGCGACAGTTTACCACTCTATCTGCCACATTCTGAGCTCCCGGAAATCCACCCGATTGAACTTGTACATTCTACCGAAAGTTCCGAGATCTTTCGAGTCTCTTATCGCGGATTAGAATGCTGTCTGAAAGTGGTTTGTCGCCCTCATCTTGTGCCCCAGCGTCCAACATAATTAAGATGCCAGTAGTTCCATATGGGGGATGATCCAGGCTTCTCACCAGATGGCCGAGATCTATGCCGATATCGCTGCGAGTCTCAAGCGTACCAAGCCCTGTGGACACATGGTGTCTGTGGCCAAGGGATCGTTCCGTACTTATACGGTCTCCTCGAGTCATTTGATCCCAGACTGCTCGGTTCGGATCTTGGATCTTTCAACGAAGACAAGGCTTTCCCATGTGCCATCCTCCTGGAGTACCTACCCAACCCGACAAGCTTCGAGACTGCTGGTGCTAGTCTCTCCCCGGAACTCGTCAGGATCGCAGTGGACAGCTTGAAGACAATACATGGCGCTCGCGTAGTGCACAATGATCCACATCTCAAAAATGTTCTGATTGTTCCCAAGGCCAAGTCTCCCCGAGTGGTCTGGGTGGATTTCGATGTCTCCATAGTGTTTTCTGGAGAAGGCACCCGGGGCCTGCTTACCCTGAGCGATGAAGCTGAGTGGGAAACGAAAGTTTTTGAAAGCCGTGTTCGCAAACTGGTAAGAAATCGCTGCCTTGCGTGTTCATGATCTACCCGACGAGAACAGCGAAACAACTCTCCTCGCATTTAAACGTGGCCGATGCTGAGTCTGTGAGCGGTACAGTCGGAGGATGCTGTCAGGCTGTGAGCATGATTAGGGCGCAGGGAAGTATGCTAATAAAACAGACTTATGCCGACCTCTATGGATTCCAGCTCTTTCCATAAGTCGTGGGCATTATGGAATGCACGCTTTAGTCCAACATTGTTCAACCATCAAACTAAGCTAAACACCTTAAGTACTGGGAGGGTCCTCCCTCTGTGCCCATAGACGTGGTCTTTGTGATCAGCCTTCTTATAGCCTATAGATACTAGGTAACTGTATCTCTATACTACTGTTGCCACAGCTGACCAGACCTGTATTCTGCTAGCCACTGCCTTGAGTGTATGTCTCTCTGTTAAGCTGCTCCTTATGAACGACGAGCTTCTGATCTTACTAAGCGCGATTCGTATAGAATGAGCGGTGGGTTGAGGGACGAGTCCCGTAAACAGGGTACCGCTCCGAAGGGGTTCAGACGCAGGAAAGCTGGTGCTAAGGCATTGGGTTTGTGAGTAGTTTTTGGGACGTGGGACGGGGTGGGATATGGGGGTAGGGACCTTGTGCTCGCCTGTCTCCAGGTTGATTGTGGTGAGTGTGACGTTGATGCCTAACTCGTGGATCACCAGGTGGATGCGCTGGGGGCAGGGTAATCGTGGGTCTGTGAATAACTGGAGAGAAGTCATTGTAGGACGCAGCTAGAATTCAGAGTCGAGGGGCGTTGATGTAGTAGGATTGGGGGGTTGAGATCAGGATGTTCTTATACTAGGCGACAAGAGCGTACGTAAGTGAGGCTGCCTGGATGGATTGTCTTGGCTAGAAGTGCATCCCAGAAGTAGGTGACAAATAAGATAGAAGCATTATCGTCATCATCATCAAATTATATTAGAAAAAGCCGTCCAAAAGTTATATACTTGGTACAAGGAACAGAAGCCGAACCCTGCTCAAAGCGCCTCAGCAAGTCCAGTCAGGAACTCGCTCAATCCATACGCACCAGGGTCGGGAACCTTGCCGAGCCATTCCTCCTCGCCACCGACGTAAACGCTCCGCCCGAGACTCGCCTTCATGCTCTTGGTGGCTTCGGTCCCGTCCTGCGCGGCCTTCGCAGCGGCATGCACGTCCTTCGCTTCGACCAGCGCGTCGCAGAAGGGGACGAGCGCGTCGATCAGGGTGCGATCGCCCGGCTGCGCGGGGGTGTACTTGCCCAGCGCAGTGATGGAGTACTTGAGAGCGTGGGCCCAGACCTCGACCGTTGCGGGTGTTGCGGTGCCGTGGTCCTGGGTGCGGAGACCGTGCGCGAGCGCGTTCAGGAAGATGGCGTAGATGGCGCCTGATGTCCCGTCCATGGTGTTTTCCACGACGGTGACGATGCGGTTGACGGCGGTGACGGCGTCGTCGGTCAGGTTGGAGGATGGGTCTTCGAGGAGGGAGAGGACCGCTTCTGCGCCGCGCTTCAGGCCCACGCCGCAGTCACCGTCGCCGACGATGGTGTCGTACCGGGTGACCAGCGGCTCGGCAGCAATGACCCGCTTGAGTCCGGATTCAAGGACTTTCTTAAGAATGGCTGGGTCCACTGGAACAATATCAGCCGCTGCAAAGAAGGCGACCAATGTCATATGGCAAGATTAGGGCGAACTTACACTTAACGTTACTGGGTTGGTCCTCGGCAAGCTTCGTGCTCTTGACCTCCACAGGAGCATCGGATTGGTGTGCATCCCATGTCGATGTGCGGATTGGAGCGGACCAGCCCACTGCTTCGGCAGGCGCGTCGAGGAGCTCGAGCATAGACTTGCCAGGGCCCAGTCCCGTATCCGCGAGCTTCAATAGTGAAACGCTGAAGCCCAGTCCGTTGAGACTGGTCAGAAAGGTTCCTTGAATGATTCGCACAGGCTTGATGTTGAAATCTTTCTTCAGGTGGCGGTATACTTCGTCGGTGATACCCGAGAGCTCGAGGGTACTGACGCCACCGAGGTTGTTGATGAGCAGCACAAACTCATCGTCTGGCTGATGAGTCAGGAAAGCGCGGTCTGGGTCGTTGTGGTCCAGGATCTGGAAGAGCATAGTCTTGACCACTTCCGGGAGGGTAAACTTCATCCGGTGGGACCCCGGTTCGTTGTGAATGCCCATTCCGACCTCTACTTCCCCATCAGGAATGGTATCCTCTGGGACTCCTCTGCCAGGAATATGGACGTGGGCCAAGGAGGAACCCACAGACGCAAGGTTGGTGTTTGCTAATTGAGCGACGCGGTACACGTCTTCGAGCGATGCACTGAGCGATGGTCAGCTGTCGGCCGGGATCGGGTTGCCTCTTCAACTTACCCAGCTTCTGCCAAGGCTCCGACGATCTTCAAGATGAGGATGCCACCACCGATACCGCGACGGCCAACTTTTCCGCCCTTCATCTTGCCAACGCCGGCGTCATCATTAATGGCAAAGAACTCGGTCTTGATTCCCGCCGCTCGCGACTTCTCGGCCGCCATGCCGAAGTTGAGAACGTCGCCAGTGTAGTTCATCGGTATGATCAACACGCCCTTTTCGTGGTCGACGCAGTTCATGGCGGCATGACGAATCTGTTCGGCGGACGGAGAGGCGAAGATGCTGCCGGCTGCAGAAGCGTCTAAGAGGCCATGGCCAACATAGCCCGCAAAGGCAGGTTCGTGGCCGGAACCTCCACCTGAGATGATGGCCACCTTGGATTTTCTGGATGCATCCGGGCGACGGAAAATAACCTTGTGTTTCGAATCAAATGCGAGCGATGGATTTGTGAGAGTCAGGGCATGGAGAGCCGTTTGGACCAGGTGGTTCGCGTCGTCGAAGAAGTGTTTGGCTGTATGCCCAATCGGTTAGCGCATACCATCATAGTGGTATGTCTTGAGGAGAACTTTGACTCCATGGCGAGATGCATGGGATGAAATGGAAAACTGGACACAATAATCCTTGAATGAAAGTGAGAGACATACTCTGCATGATGCAAGAAATGTGGAGCGCGACAATCGCAGATGTGACTATGACGGCTAAATCCGGAGTTGCGCCGTGTAAAAGTGGAGAAGATCGGGGATATCGATATCGTCGACTCAAACAGTTCTGAGAATGTCGCTGGAACGGCAAAAGAGACAACCCTCGTCTGCTTTAAATAATCTTCCGGCAACTCTCTCACGGGATGAGTCCCAATCGGACAATTTCTGGGCGATATTTCCCCTCAATGCGAAGACCGCGGGATGACTGGAAGCGACTGCGCCAGGGATTGCGATGGGAGTCAAGGATCGGTTTGCAGTCCGTGAGAGGCGGGGAAAAAGTGGAGTACTATCCTGATTCCTGAGATCAAGTTTCGCCATGCCATCTGTCAGTTCGGATGCTCTGTTCGATATAGACTAGGCCATGCCTGTTGGAGATGCGCTGGACCGGTTGAAATCGCAACGGTAGGGATGATCGTGGTCTGAAGGCGGACTCACTGGAGTATAGAGTATATTTGAGAATCTTTTCCAGATATACAATGCGTTCTTCCACGGCAATGCTATATGGATAGTCTGTGGAGCGTTGTATACAGATGTAGCAGTTCCAGAGAACCAAGGCCCATGACCGAGGAGATCGATCATTCGAGAGGGGGAAGAGCAGTATATATAATAGCCATAACTCATAACCATACTTGAGAAGCAAACCTGTTTGACTTTTCGCCATTTTTGCTGTTCACATGAACAATGATTCTCCTGTCGATCGACCCGACCCATCGTAGGTCAAGCAGGAGTACTAGGGTACTGTAAGGTACCACGGTTAGCCTTCCCTCCAATTGACCCATCCCTTGGTCAGTTGGTCCCAACTATCAATATTAAGAAGGGCATCAAAGGCGGTTCATGCAGAGTTAGCAGTGCATTGTGCACTGTGCACCCATTGATCGTGGAGTCTGGAGTCTGGAGTTGAGTCTGGATCGGAGACAGAGTCCCAGCGGAAGCGCTTCGGCTTACCCTCCAGGGTAATTCCGTCAGTGTCCAGTCGATATCATGATCCAGCCTGTCTGAATGGTGTGACTTGTGTAGATTAATATTGAATATTATTGATCATTGATAATTGTACCTATGACTGCCTCGGCGGTTAGCCAAAGCTACTTACTTGTCTACCTATTTCACTACGATGTCATAAGTGTGTAACCATTGGCTCATGACAGATTTGCCATAAGACCAATTAATCATGATAACATTGCTTGCAATACTGACATACCTCTCAGCCTGAGATCTTGATGTTCATGCATTCAGCGAATTCAAGATCATGTGGTATTAAGCCTAATCTCCCTTGCATCAGTCCTCAGTCCTCAGAAGAGAAGGTGAGCCGGGCAAGATGACTGAACAGAGTAAGGTATGTGGGATATGATACTACATGCAACACGAACATATCAACGGGCATGGTCATGGGACCCAAAAAATGGCTTCATCTACATACTATGTACATAAAATAGTATCTAGTTCCCCGCTGTCAGATCCCTTGAATCCACAACTGCAACATATCATTACCGGATTAGGCATTCCTGACTATACTGTCAGTATCACTCACTAGAACGAACTCAAGCCACGTGAACTTCCAGATAGATCCCTAGATAGCGGTGTCTCATTGTCCATCCCAGTCTTAAACAGCAGGCTACTGTAAATTCCACTGCTGTGTGTGTCCATTTGCTTCTCTGCCGAGTCCCGTTCGCTTCTCGGTCGAGTGCAAGAGTACGCGTACTACTACCACTACCACTGCACCTTGCTTCACCTTTTCTCCAACCTTGTGAGGAGGTACAACTACACTACAGCAATTGACGCATGCATTTATCCTCAGATCGCATATCGAATCACATTGTTACCCAGCTAGTAGTCCCTTGCCAACTGGCTACTTCCCGAAGACTCCGGCCTCGGAAGCCCCTGAAGCCCCTATGCTCACTCGAGACTGGCTTGACGCCCATGTAAGCATCTGAACAGCGCAACTGAATTATTGAGATCTGCTGAGCCGGCATATACAATTGAGCATGCGAGCGGTAACATATTCTCAAAGATATCGGGTGAATGGGGTACGTACTACTAGTTGCTACTGTGGGGTCGGAGCTGCTCCGGGGCTGTTCCAGACTTTCCCAGATCCAGGCTCCCGGCATCCGTGGCTCCAGTCTAGGCTTTGGCAGCTGGGGGGCTATAGGTAGTAGTAGTGCAAAGTCATCATGAGAATGAATGCATTGGTGTAAGATCATAATGAGAGATAAATGCTTGACACAACGGTAGCGGCTTCTCTAACAGCGCAATGCAATTGCTTCTTATGCGACATATTTGTACAGATGGGTCTCCGTGTCTCGCTCCATGTAATCCTTCTCAATCAGTCTAGATAACCGTCAGTAACCATGCTCGAGAAAGTATGAAACAGGACGACTCACTTTTCAATATTGTTCTTGATCTCCGCCACGTCCAACACACCTCGGCTCCGCGTCGCCCGGATCACCTCCGCGACCAGTTCAGCGTGCGAAATCTGCTTGCGACTCTTCATGATCCGCACAATGGCCGCCTGCGTCTCAAGATGTCGGTCGGCCGCCACTCGCTCGTGCGTCTTCTTGTTCTCCTCCTTCGTCTCCTTCAGTTGAATCTGATTGATCTTGATCCGGAACTTCGCGTCCGTAAAGCCCGGATTGAACGAGAATTCATCGGTAGGATTGACGTCTCGTCCCTTCGGCTTCTTAGTGAGGACCCGATACTTGGCACAGGCAAGTGACTGGAGTGTGCGTTGCAGCTCCTGGTCGGCTGCATCGAATCAGTCAGTGACGGATACAACCGAGAACATCGCTAGCAGAAATACTCACAAAGTTTCGTCTTTTCCTGAATCTGAGGATAGCTCAGACTTTCGCCATCAGGCACATCGTTGAAGAGCAGGAGCACGATCGCTTGAAACGAGCTGACCACCAGCTCCTTCTGTCCGCGCGAAAAATTGGCCCGCAGCTGGCAGTGCGCCAGCTGGTGCTTCCAGTTCAGTTTGCGCCCGTTGTATTTGTTGTAGTAAAATGTCTCAAAGTCATCGATCGCTTCTGCAACGACCGGTGGAATCCGCACCTGCACATCGGGGTACGATGGCCATGCCGATGCGGAGAGCACGCTGACATTAAGATCGATCGGCAGTCGTCTCCTCCGCTCACGCTGAATCGAGGCATACGCAGCCATCTCGTCTCGCGCTACATCCATATCCTTGAACATGGACTCGAGATTATGTGTAAACGTGGAACCACATTCTGTTCACCAGGGTCAGCTTGCGATCTTACGCAGAGATGGTGTGTATACCAACCGGTCTTGAGCCTTGCCAGCATGCTCTTCTCCGCATCATCGCTGGCGCTTCTGCCCATCAATAACCGACGAGCCAGGTCGTTCTTGTAGAATGCCTCAAACACTGCTTTGCCGTTGACGAATCGAAACAGATCCAGCACTTGATCCAGTTGTCGGTTAATCTCAGCGTCCTCGTCGGCGAGCGGCACGTCCACCATATTGCGCCCAGGAGGCAGCTTCCATCCACCTTTGAGCAGCCTGTCTACGTACTTGGCAATCATCTCGCCGGTCTTGACATTGTCTGTCCCGCCGGTGGATTCCGATTTCCGGCTCTTGTTCATAAAGGCCGCGAAAGCTTCGCGCAGTGCATGACCCAACTCCTCATTGCGGTGGAACGAGTTGACCCATGTATCGTCCAGGTGTGACTTGAACTCCAGCAAACGAACGACCATTTCCGCCTCCTTCTCCTCGTCAAAGACAATCTGCGAGCCTTCTTCCACAATATAATTCTTGAATGCTGCCTTCAATTTCGTACCGAGTTGCCTTCGCTCTAAAAGAGTGTAGAGCTTCTCCAGAGCAAACTTGTTGCCAGTTCGAAGCAAGCCAAGAACATCCTTTTCATTGAGTAACACCGACTCTTGATCTGCTACCAAGACACGATCGAGAAGTTCAGACAGCTTCTGCTTGGTGCTCCTGTTCAAAGAGAATAACTCGCACCTTTTGACCTCTCTTGCTATTAAGTGATGGCCGTTCTCCACAAATGTGGCAAGGTATCCGGAGGACTCCCGCTGAGCCCACGATGAAAAGAATCGCTTCGACTCGGAAAGAAGGAGAGGCTCAAAACCTGTTGTGTAGACATCAAGTCCATGGAAGAGTTCAATAGCATTTCGGAGCAAAGACGAATCTGCCATCATGACATGATCCTCATTGCGGTCCGCATCAACTAGGTCACAGGCCCCTTGTAGAATCTTCGGTTGCAATACAGGGTCAGAGAATATGTGATTCCGAAACTGAATCAAGCCCATTTCACGGATGACTGGAAACTCTTTGGAATGAAGCAGGAATGATTGATCGAGGTAGTAGAAGATCCACCGAATGGTGACCTGTAACAATTCTATTAATCATCCGAAAGACAAACTCAAATCGCGATGCAGATTCAACATACCAATTTAGATTGCCAAGTGCTCCATGCGTCAACCACAGCCCGCAATGTATCCACATTACTCCCATCAGCAGCCTTCGCCAGCAACTCGTCCCGCAGGACCCCGGACACATGCGCTCGGCATCGGTCCTGCAGCCGTTGGGTCAACACCGCGGCTCTTCCCTGGCGACACACATTCTCTGCCCCCTTGTAGAGTTCCTCCAGTGAAATCTCGGGCTTCCGGCCGCTGAATACGGCGCTCAGCGCTGCATCCAGCTGTGCCCAGACCTTATCGAAGTATGAATCCTGATTGAACCGCGAACCCGTCCGGAGATTCTTGACCACAAGCCTCTTTGCGCCAGTATGAGGGGTGAAATTACTCTGGCGCGACGATGCATTCGAGAAATGGGGCTTGGCTGTCGTGCTGGAGAGTCCGGAAGCCGGGGAGCTCTGCGCAAAAGCCCCACCTGCTCTATGTTCCGAATTCGAAAAATTGTACATCCTGTCCGGCGGATGAAGCTCCTGTGACGAAACTGGGGCTCGGGAGTATGATGCTGGCGATAACCGAGGACGCTTGTTCGTTGGAGGAGACTGCTGGGGATAACCCTTGCCGTGGGTATGGTTCCTGGATAAGAGCTCAGAGATCGTCGCCTGCTGTTGCTGCTGCGGATGCTGTTGCGAGTTCTGAGACCGAAATGCCGCCTCCTCTTGATCAGAAAGCTTCCTCTTGCCGATCGACTTGCGCTTACCGCTCCTCTGCTCGGGGGCGCCTCTCGAGTTCTGCTGCATCTACCCGGTCCGGTCCGAATGAACAAGGGTCGACAGAAGGGAGCGCTCAGCGTTGGCGGAATTCAAAAATTTCCTGGAATGCACAGGTCATGGCAAATCATTTGCTTTCTTGTCGAGCTCGAACGAGGCGATGTAGCGGGGTTGAACGATGGAAGAGGAGATGGTGAGCACTGGGCAGCAAGGATGGAACGGGCACCACTACGGAGCACAGTTGAAGGTTACTCGGAGATAAGATAATACGCCCGTGCGCTCTGCTCCCTCTCCTGTAAGATGAACATACCCCGGGCATCAGCTACTATCTATCATCTATGAGACTATGTGAATGGACTCCGTAGTGAAAAAGTCGACTGGCCAATATCAACTGATTGATTGATGCAGGCAAAATTCATCCCTGTCAGCGGTGGTCACAAAGATTACCCTCATTTCCGGCAACATGCTTAACCTTTCTGTCCTTCTGTCTATCCTAGGGCCGAATCCACAAAATCCTAAGAAAGACGGATTGAAAACGGAAACAATGTTGACTTCGGGACTTCAATTGGCTTCATTTTATACCAGATACCACTTCTCTCCAATATGTTTAAGCAGACAACCTCCACGTCAGATCCGTTGTTTCCGATGCTTTTTGAACAAGGTGAATCTCGTGAAGTTAAGGCATCGCACATAAAGAGTCAAATGTGCGTACTAGTCATCTGCATATGTATTATAAGAAAACCGCCCGAGTTCGGCTATTTGAGTACGCGAGCCAGCATCTTCCTAGGGCCAAGACTAGGAGAATAATGTCGGGCGAGATTGCTCCTTCACTTCCTCGTCCTCGTACTGGATATCCATTAGCATCTGTGGCTGCTGTGGCGAGTTGAGAGTACATACCTCCAGGAAGTTGGTGGCGCTGACGAGCGTCATGTAGCATTTGGCCAAATCACTCAGCGCGTCGTGATGATCAGCAGTACCCACTCCCCCGATCTTGGCAAATCGCTTGAAGATACCGACCATGCTCTGTCTGTTTTCTGCTAGGAAAGCTCGCGTTTGCTCCATGATTTGCTCATTATGAAGACCCCGAGAGAAGACAGCTGAGATAATGACTCGGAGCACCGAGCCAAGAAGATCATAATATTTCCGAAGAGCATCAGGGTTGCCGATATCTGTCATCGTTAGAGAGATTTTTGACCTACAAGAAGACATGTACGTACCAATACCGAGATCCGGATCAGCAGCAAATAGCCGAGACTCGCGAACCGCTTGAAAAAGGCCTGTTTTCAGAACTTGAGTAGCTCCATTCTTGGTTTGGCAAAGCCGTTGAAGTAAAGATAGCAGCGACTCATAATATGACAACAATGCTGGTGTATCTACTATGATGTCAGCGTGTTTCGCAATTACATGAATCGTACCTCCATAACCTACCATTCGCTTGAGCGTTCTTCAGTTCGACAGGTAGCGCTCTGATGGCATCCAAGAAAAGACTCAGATAGTTCGATTGTGAGATCAACTCCGCCAGGGTCGAGTCTGTCTCTCGATCCAGGGAAGCGAGCAGATTGAGGAAGAGGAGGGCCGACACCCGACATGTTTCTTGCCCGGCATATGCGTCGTCACAGGTCGTCTCGATCAGATTCGGGCCCGCTGTCTTTATCACTTGCTGACTGTGATGCCTCAGATTCTGATTCACTGCATCGGCGGAGGCGATACGACTGATGTACTGCGACCCAATGTTGTAAAACGTCTCTCTCAAGTGAACATTTCCAGTTGCCAGAAAGATGCCTCTGATGCAGATCTGGAACAGCTGGTGCAGCTTTTCGTCTATGATATCTCCACTTCGCCGCGCACCGTCTGAACTCGTGGCTGTAGATTCTAACCCACCGACAAGAGTCTCGGCTAGTCGTGCAAGCTCGATTGCCTCCGGTAGGTCCTCCTCAATGGCTGCTTCAAGTTTAGGGAGGACCAACTGGATGGAATGCAAGATAAACGTTGATTTTCGGCCATCCTCAATCTCTGAACAAGCCAGCATCGTTGTGATGAGCTCTGTCCATGATCGAAGGGCCAGGTAACGGTTAAACGCAATTTGCCTTGCTTGATTCGTCGCACGAATGAATAATGTTAGGCTTTCAGCTTCAGCCAAGAATTGCTCTTCATCCTGAGGCCGCAATTGCCCACTCGACATCAACTCTTCCTTTCTGACTTGCACGAGCTCTGCAACCTCCGCTAAATTGTACAGAACAAGCGACTCGTCTGCTTGCGATTTCGCACATACTTCAAAGCCAATTCCATCAAGGAAGACTAATCTGGGCGGTTGAGATCGGTGGTTGAGATCCAGGTCAGCAAAATCAAAGAGGTCAAATACGGTGGGATTGAGTATTGTCTCCCCGGTTTCTGTGGCTGAGTTCCCAAGCAACGTCGAAAGGACCTCTGTTTGAAGGGTTTGCGAGCCAAGCTTGGCGGCCGAGCGAATTTCGGTCGCCGCATAGGCATACAAGTAACTTCTGAAAAGTAAGAACTCAGCAAGAGCTGACGTGGACTCGGAGATCCAGAATTCTTCTTCCATGACAGATAACCCATCAAAAGGAGTGCTTGGTCCGATTATAGGTTGGTTGGCAAACATGCTTAGTAGAAAGCGGCTGGCACGCATCTCAAGCAGTGTAAAAGCGGACGCGATTTTTGAGGACCATAGATGTTTGAGAACTTCAAAGGCCATACGCCGTAGATGTACCATCCATGGCAGAATGTTCCCTTCTTGTGCATCGGGATAGCTTTGCAAGAACCCAATGATAGCATGTAGCAAGGAAATTCGGTTCGAGAACAGACCGTTCGGAGAAATATCCAGTATGGTTCCCACGCTACTGAACCCGAGGAGAAGATGAGCAATGGTCGGCCGGTCTGTGATCATGCTGAGACAGCTATTGAGGAGTGCCAAAAGACTCTCCCTAATAATATAGCCTGGGGACCGTGCACCGAGTTCCAACTCCCTCAATTCAGGTTGCATCTGAGACACCAGCGGTCGTGAAACACTGTCAACGTCCACCTCTGTGCTCAAAACTTCAACTATTTTGTTTGAGGATTGCCACTTTGATATTTCTGGTGATGACAACTTGTTCAACTTCCTGGAGCTTGACAATTTCTCCAAAAGTGCCATTGAAGTAACGGTAAGTTGCTCGTGACCCGTGCCGCAATAAAGGCTCAGAGCTGGTATGATCGTTAAGTTGTTGAGAACGCTGTCCTCGAAGGCTGAAAGCGACGAATTGGCAACGTTAATCCTGCTTCCACCCGCCTGAGACTTGATCGACGGCCGAACGATATTGAAGTAGGTCGATTGCAGGTCCAACATCAGGTCCATGACTTCGAGGCTCTTGACCAGGCACTGAACAATGATAGAGTCAGACGCGGCGTTGGCAACCTCGGTGGCGTCTTGTTGAGCTGTTGCGAAGATTGCTTTGATAACATCTTCATTAAATAGCCACTCAGCCACACGCGCAAACGGGTGAAGGCGGATATAGGTAATCAAGGATGATGTTTTCAGACTGGAATCGGAGCTGATCGCAGGTTGGCTGAGGACAGTGACGATATTCTCGTTGAACGATTTCAGGCATGTGATGACAAAGTTCAAGCAGTTGTAGGTCAAAAGGCGAGTTTGGCGCTCGTTTAGATCTGGAACCTTCCTCGAGAGAGCCTGACCTAAGACAAAATCGATGTACGGCTCGATACCTGGCATGCGATAGGAGGATCCCAGGGTTTCGGGGAACGGCAAGGACAGATGGTACTCGGCTGAGTCGAAGGTAGGGGAAACGAGTGAGTAAATTAGAACGACAAAGGCATTGGCCTGATCAAAACTTTCGCCGATCTTCTGGAAAGCCTGCTGCTCGTGCCATACCAATGGATTTGAGACTATGGGTACTTTACCGAGGCCAGGGGCACTCATCGCGCCCCCGGAAATCCATTGGTCAAGGGAGAGCCACATCTCGTTGCCATGGGCGGATGTTCTGTCTGTCATTAGAGCTGCAAGAGTTGTGAAAACGGTGGCCCTCAGATGGGTGGGTATCGGGCCGCTGCACAAGGTCAATAAGGTGCTGACAATACTGAAAGATGGGTGGTGAAGCATCCACTCCCTTATGGAGCCGCTCTGCTTGCATAAATGACCCATTAATCGGAGATAGCAAGTCAGCATGACCGGGCTTTCTGGCTCGCTCATGTCGGCTGGTACGGATTTTCGAGCCCGCAGGACTGCTTGGGAAGTGCTAGGCTTCTCAGTAACTCTCGTCGCGTACAATTGGAGTTCAGCAAACATCTGGGACCAATTCATGGAAGTGGATCGCTTGAACTTAGACGACAAAAATTTGTCCTCCTCGGTTAGAAACCGATGTGCAGCAGCGGCATTCTCTTCTCCATTAGAAATAGAACACAGCAATTCGCAAAACGCGCTCACTCTCGGAACGGTTTGTCTCTTAGAAGCCCACTGAAGGAAGCCATACAAATTGCCATCCGGGTCGGCCCAAAATTCCTGAGCTGCGTCTGGTCGGCTTTCGAAAGCGAAGGCTATGATCATGAGGAAAGACTCGAGGTGAGTGCGAGCTTCGACTAGGCCGCCACGATGGAGGCTGGACGTCAAACCGTCCCTCAGGGCAGTAATCTGATCCAAGCGTTGCATATCCTCCTCGGATTTCAGCTTTCGAACTGCATCTGGCATGTTGGCAATGCAGGACTCCACGAAGACCTCCAGATTCTCCATCAACAGAGTCTTTAGAAATCCAGCACAGGGTTCGGATTCCAATTTTGCCAATGCGCTCTCTTTCAATAACAGCGCCACTAATTCGCGGCGAGCTGGGTCACCCCATTCTTCGTTGTTCACTCCTGAGCAAATAGCAAGTAAGAAATCGAGCCCTCCATCGTCCAGTGCCGTCATAAACATTTGAGTGCGCTCCTCTGCTTCTTTCTCGAGGTCAACTCCTTGGACAGGAGAGGATGGCCCATCGATATCCCAGCCACTGTACACCGCAAGCCAAAGCGCGATGACAGCTGCGTGGAATGTCGGCATCGTCCAAGTTTGGCCATCTTTGGTAGAAGTGATCGCCGTGTGCAGGCTCCTAGCTTCTTTGTATGAATTTGACCGTTCTGGTGACCCGTGTTGAACAAATGACGATATCATAGCAGGGATGTAGTGGAGCAGCAGTCCATCAAATCTTTCAAGCTTCCTTAAGCGATTCAGGAGCACTCGAAGGTCCTCGGGGCTAGTATAAGGTCCTTTGAAGAAATAGCATAGAATTGCGCCTAATGACTCGTGTTGTTGCTGTAGGCTGCTGCGTTGGTATTCAATGGCTTCCATGATATCGCGATCCTCCACTTGGCCGACGATCGATGCCTTTTGAATCTGCTCCCCGAGGAGCAACAGCCATCCCTCAATATCCTCCATAGACTTCATGCACTTCCGCGCAAAAAGCGACGCGTTCCGTAGAGGTCCAGTTTTAATCTCGACAACGAATGCCACCATGTCTTGCATGAGAGCTTGCGTAATTTCCCGCTCAACCTCAAACGATTCCTGGAGAATTAGACGTAAGCATTCAAGAAGGAAGTGCCGCCGCTCATGGAAGCGCATAATCGCCGCGATCAGCGGAGGCCTATCCAGCATTTGAGCTTCTTCCTGCGCAGCAAAGAATAGGACCGCGGCCTCCAGCTCATCAAGGTTCAGAGCATCCGCGAGTTGTAGTGCGCCTTGTTGAAATTCTTGGTTGATTGAATATTCGACATCCTCAAGGGTAATCTTCCCTGTAGCGCATTTGAGTAGAGTCAGCCTTGCCCTTCAACCTCCGAGTTCGGTCTTAATTGGTACTGCAACAAGCCAGCCTCAGTTTACTGACCTGAGAGGACAGCCTGCCGACTTGTGTTGTTCTTTGTGGGTTTGTCCAAGAGTTTCCTGAAATCCTCAATGTGAGCTTCCAACTCAACACGAAGTCGTTCAATGTTGACAAACGACGAGTCTGAAAGAGCAGAAAGATCCTGGTACAGGCCCCGAAGGCCGGCCAGGGTATCTCTGTCTTCCATCTCAAAGTCTGTGTGGTGAATGGGCGATGTGGATGAAGAAGGAAGCTACAGTGAGCCTTGTGTTTGTCCCAAGTTCCAAAAAAGGTCGGAGGGACGCGGTCAAAATTCCGACCTAAAAAAGGCGGAGCTCACTTTGCGGCCGGACTAAAATAACAAGCCACACCAGAGCTAGATCTACAATAGTCAGACCTCAAAACAATAAATAATCGATGATCCTCTGCCCCCGCTGACGCTGACGTCTGTCTACGTCGGCCAGAATTCTCTCATCAAAAAATATGATCAAAGAAATTGACTCAGGCAGATGTTAAACTCCGTGCACTAAATGCTGATTGTGTGCGAAATACGGATAGCCGCACCATCATGATGGCACAGGTCACTCTCGACAGGGCCATTGCGCTTTTGTCCTCCGAGAGACTGAAAGAACGATCTGACAGCCTGGCAGGTTTGTCTACAGCTGAGCCGTGTCATGGTAATTTTGCTGATCCTACCAGATCTGAAACACATTCTCCAGCAAAATAAAAGGAGCTCAAAGTTGTATGTAAGATTCCCAGTCGATTCATGAAATGGATGTTATACATAGATTAACTGGTGCTCATCTCATCAGAATATCGCTCAACGATAAAGCTTGCCATAAGATCTTCGAGTCCCTTTTCCGATTCATCTCCGTCGAGAAATCCTTGTATAACAAAGCGAGCTCCAAGGGAGCATCCGCCTCGCGGTTGTCCGCTTGTGCATCCGTCATTCGAACAGCTATCGATGTCTTTCTGCGTAACCTGAGGACAAAGTCGATTCGGGCTATAGTCGACCACATAACCGAGATTCTACAGGTTCCTGGAGAGGGTCTGTGGGAGCATCTCGGTGCAGATTATCTGAAATGCCTCACCACACTTTTGCGCTACCCTCCTCACGTCGAGCATTTGGCCGTCAATGAATGGGACAAGGTTCTGAACCTCTGTCTAAGAAGTATCGGTGCTCCAGACGATGAGGATAGCCAGTCGAGTGACCCCACTGGTCATCTGTCTACTTTGGATGACTTTCTGGGTACAAGCTCACGCTTAACACCATCGAGAAGAACATCGACTCTGGCTATACGGGAGAAGCAAAATGGCGATAAGAGAATTGTCGCGGAAGCAATAGTATGTATCCAGCTACTTACAGCGACCCCGACTGCCCCTGTGCAATCAGCCGCTGAGAAGGTCCTTCGCGGGCTTGGGACGTTCTTGAAGCTTTCGCCTATCGCTGGAAGTGAACACCAGGCTGCGTTCAATAGCATAAATACAGTTGTCATGAGAGTTATTTTTGACCAGTCTGATTCCGTTCGCATGTTCCTCTTGGATCTAATTCCAGTAATTCGACATCTGTGGTCTACCAAGCTTATGGGCCTGAAAGATGAACTGCTCGTCACTATTATGCTTTGCATGATCATCTTGACCGATGCGACTCGCAGGGAACCGACAGATTCCCTGGCTCTTTCGATCGAGAACCTATTGGACACACTGTACTCGGAATATACGAAGCGTTCTGAGAAGGACATTCTGCAGATTGACGAGTTAATTTTCGATCGAGTGAGCTCCACTCAGATCATTGATCTCCCACTGCAACCTCGACTTGAAGTGCCCAGGTCCGAGCACAACTGGACTGTCGTATGGGTCATGGCAAAATTGATGAAACTGTCAGAGGAATTGACCGCGCGGTTATCGCATCCTGCAGGCGAGATAACAAGCAAGAAGCAACGGTTGAGCTCGGCGTCGGACGAAGTCTTCCGAGACTCCATCATGTCATCGGGCAACAGGAGGGTATGTGCCCTGCAGCTGATCCCCGTGCTTCTCCAGAACCATGTCAGTGTGGAGCCGAAAGCGTCACTACTTCAGCGCTTGATCCCCTGCATACTCGATGACAACAGTATCATAGCTTCGTGGACAATGGTTGCCATTTCAAGGTGAGCCTGTACAGAACCGGTTATTGATCGCATAGCTAAAGACTTGTTACCGCAGTATTGCGAGCAATGCTGATGCAGGCTCTCCGTCTCTGAAGAAGTATTGGCAACAGGCATGGGATCTTACGTCTCGCGCCTCTATCTCGCAAAACACCTCCAGAGCCGCCTGCAATCTCATGAGTACCATTCTAAAATTCGATCTTCTGGATTATTCCGTAGTCGCAGGCACGACAAGTTCAATGCTTACATCTATGAATTTGAATGCGCCATCGAGCATCTCAGATTCATCCTTGGAGCTGTGGGCGATTATAACCAGGCTGGGCGCACAGACGAACCCGGGTTCAGTCTCGAACGCTTCGAAACAGATCTGCTCATGGCTACGAGAAGCTTGGATGATTGGTGCGTCTTCGCCATGCCATCTCTACGCAGATGCTTGATCGCTAACATTGTGTCAGGCACAGTAACCGATCGAATTCAAACAGCGCAGGTCGCTGCTTTTGCACGCCCTCTAGACCTTCTCAATCTATTTCTTGCTTGTACCAATAGACAGTTCGAGGTGCCCACCCCACAATTCCGCGGACCGTCTGGGCTTGTTGCGAAAGGCTGGCACTTTTACCAAAGTAACCGAGAGCTTCTCAACTACCTCTTCCATGTGGATGGGATGCTGGGTTCCGCAAGCATGCAAGGCCGAGATGATTGCATATCTCTGCAACTCGCGACTCGGCAAGACCCTAGTGATGATATAGTACTCGATCTGTTGCAAGCGAAATCTGAAATGTTCTTGCAAGCATGGCGATCGTTGTCTGACAGTAAATCGCACCACGTGACTGTCGATATCGTTCAGATACTCGCTTCATTCTGCATAGTCGCTATGTTGTACACGGAATCCTTACTTGAACAATCGCAAACTCGAATAAAGAACCTGCGGGGCAATAGCAAGCACCTCTGGGACGGCCTTTGTTCATTCATGGCGTCTCGTGAACTTGGCTTTGTACAATGTTGCCTGGAGCTTCTGTGCCCCTTCCTCGCTCAAGGAAATGGGTTTGGTTTCGAGAAATCGGTTGTTAATAGCAGTCTGTACAGATTTGTGCCTTCCTTGAGTCAGATCCTGGAAAATCATCGCCGAGACCAGAAGAGGTTGCTATCTTCTGATGAGGAAGAGCCAATGGATTTGGACGACCCGCTACTGCAATCCAACGATCTTCTGGCGGAGAACATGTGTATCATCAACTTGAACCGAGAATCTCTCCCTTTATTTTATGATTCTGCCACTTTCCAACGGTCAATGACTATCCGACTCTCTATCTTCCAGATAGCATATGCCTCTGTCGTCCAGCCCGAACAACCAGCCAGTAGTGCTCTGGTTGAGTACTTGACAAATTTGGATGAAGCTGATCTATTGTCTGCACGAGGCTTCCTGCCCGAGGTTTATCGGGCATGTGCAGGATTTGAACGCACTTCCCTATTAGACTTATTGGAGGACATGGGCGAGAAATGTCTGCAATCCTACCAACTGGAACGTTGCGAAAGCTCTCATATTCTGTGCATTCACATGATGAGTAGTTTCGTCAAATCATGGACGACCGGAGATGGAGATCATCTCAGTGACTCGGCTTCAGATATCTACAATTGGTTTACCGATGTGTTATTGGCAAAGGGCAGGGCTTCTTCTCGAGTATTGATAGCCTTTTCCAGACTTCTGGAAGAAATATTTAGCACAAACCCCGTGTACACAAGCGGCCAATCCAACCCCTCGCCCCGGACAATTCTTTTCATGATCCTCCAGGAAAGTGATATACTAACGAAGTACAACGCGGGTAATCTTGTTCCCAAGTTGTTTAGCCACTTCCCGTTGAAAGATCACGATGCGATCTTTGATGATATTCTGGAAAGCCTTCCCCGCGATCCTGACTGGAGTGAAGGTATTGCGCTCCGTTTGTTCACATTGGCAAGGTTGGCTTCACAGTGGCATACTTTACTTCGGAGGAGCATCTATCATATGTTCGAGACGCCGGCCCAGGTTCCTCACTCCCTGTGGCACGCTGAAAAATGCGTACGACATGTTGCAAATGTCCTTGGACTCGAAGACGCACGACAATTATTCCGCCTTTTCTCCTCCCAGATTCTCTACACCTGGACCGAAAATCAATCAGTTATGTCAATGCCCTTCAGCATATTTGATTATACCACCCTTGAGGATATGCTGAGCGATGTCCAAGATGAAATCGTAGGTCAAATCATGATGCGAGCCAATGAGCACGAGGCAAATGAGCTCTCAACCCGTCTGAAAACTCCTTTCATTGAGCTCCTGGCGACATCATTCTATAGGGCAGAGGCGTATAGCATAGCGCGAGACATCAGCACTCCTCCTGGACAGGGCAGCCAACCGAAAGGGGTCGAAAATCGATTGAAGAAGATCTTAGGCGCTGACCGTTTCGTGGATTTGGCTCAGAAGCAATTTCCGCAAGTAATAGCAACGTTCTTTGGGGCCCTAGATCAGTGTGAGCAGATCGAGAGGGCGTTCTTGAAACGAGCCAGTTTTCAGGAAGCTGCCAGTATCTTGAAATCAATCACTGCTAAGAGTTCCTCGAAGGAAGTACTCCCCGCCAATCAGCAACCTTCGTTCAGAGCGCGTTATCTTCTAGATGAGCTGGAATTCCTCTGTAAACGAAGCGGGTATGAACTCGAAACGATCTGGACTTCTACACTGGCATCTTATGTCTGCCGGACACTTCTGGAATCAATTCACCCCGCGCTTGGCTCTCTTCATGCCTGCTCTGTCATTCGCAAGATCAGGATTTTGGTCTGTATTGCCGGCCCTGTCATGCTAAGAGATTATCCTTTCGAAATGCTCCTACACGCTCTTCGACCGTTTCTCACAGATATACATTGCTCCGAGGACGCACTGGGAATGTTCTGGTATCTCTTGGACGCTGGGAGGCCTTACTTGACTGAAAATCCTAGTTTCACGGCTGGCATCGCAGTGTCCACCTTGCTCTCTTTTAGAAAGTTCTTGACCTCTCCAGCAGCCACCATGCAGGAAAGCCAATCTGTTACAGTTCTG